AAAAAAAAAAAAAAAGAACCAAGATATATCATGTAAAGGTACAAATTCCCAATAATGAATGTTACCATATTGTGTATCTAAAATGTACCAATAAACTTTTTTTTTAAAGCTTCTGAGAGAACAGCTTTATGAGAAGAAAATTTCTCTTATTTCCAAAACACAGATCATTGATACACTTTTGAAGGCATTGTTAGGAGGGAAATTAGGCCAGAGATTCTTCTAACAAGTTATTCCGTAATAGAATTGGGTATATTTGTTCACTAAAGGATGTGTAAAACAACATTAACAGCACTGTGATTATAGCAAAGTCTAGAGAAGTACAAATGACCGTTTCAATCGATGGCTTATTACATTCACAGTGAAACAAACAGGAAGCTGTGAAAGAGCGCAAGTTATAGTTACAGATGCAGCGAAGGTCAGAGCCACCCCATATGAGCTGGCAGGAGACAAGAAAGAAACTCTCAACCCTTCCCTCTTCCCACCCAGAGATCTCTTGCCAGTGTTTATGCAGGGCTGAATTCAGTAAGATGCCTAAGACAAAAGGAGCCTGGGTAATTCAGTTCACATGGTTGAACTATTACAGAACAGAATAGAAAAGATAAAGAAGTATGAATTTGGGTAAAAGGGAAAAATCAAAAATAACCCAGAAAGGAGCCAATAATGGGCTCAACCCTAGTTTTCTTGTTCCCATCTAGTGGACTCCTCAACCCACAGTGCAACTGTAATCATGAAGGCACTGAAGGAAAAGAACCCCAGAGAAACATCCACGGTTTCTTATAAGAGCAGAGACTTTATTCTGGGGTCGGAAGGTTGACTGAGTTTTGGGTAAGAGATAATCATTCATCTGTCTACTGCTGCTATAGTTCAGTTTCAGAAACATGAGATTTGACATTCCATTCGCCATCTTAGTAAGAGACAGTTGGTGTCTTTTCAGCTCTTTATATGCACAAACCAATGTGAGTCTTTCTTGTGAGAGGCATCTGTGGTCTTCACATTCAGATATTACTTGCTTTACAGAAAAATATGTAAGAATATTGATGTATTTTAATTTAAACTAATGTTTGCCATCAAAATCCCAGCCTATTTTCCACCATTTGAAAGAAATAAAGCCCAACCTCAGGTGAGCAGCTATGCCATATGATTAGGACTATACAGGTAGGGTGATGGCAGAGGAAACTGGACCTGAAGAGGGAGAACTCCCTAGACACAGCATTTCCTGACCAGGCTGCCTCCCGTCTCTTGCGTAGTGAGGGTCAGGGAGGGAGTTGCCCCAGTTGCTTGGTCTTGAGGGTCCTCCCACAGCTACGTCCCCTGAGCAGCTCAAGCGCAGTGGGGAGTAATGTTGAATATCTTGCAACAGGCACAAGGAGAGGGAGAGCCTAACTTAGTAGTGGAGACTGAAATAGGACAATAAAACAGATCGATGCCCTTTGCTTGGTTCTTAGTATTTGCATGAAGAACCCAATATCCCAGGAGATTTAAATAGGTGAGACACATTGGTAGAGAAAAAACACATGTCAGTGTTTTCAGGAAATGTCAGCAATGAGAGAGTCTTGAGTCTGAAAGAAAAAGAAACCTTTCAGGCTGAGCACTAGTACTTCTGGGGAGCAGAATTGTTCTCTTTAATCTTACATCCACTGCTTCCTACCTTAGCTTAACTCACGACCTCTGAGGGTTCTAGGAATTTGACCTGAGACTGGCTCATGGTCTTGGGGAAACTGCTTGGACATCTCGTAGGAAGAGAAGGACACAAGCATCCTCTGTCAGGGCTGCTCCCCTCAGCTTCCTGCATGCTCTGGGTTTTTGCTCAGGGCCTGCTGCAGCTCCCCTCACTGTGTCCCCAGGGCGCAGTAGTACACAGCAGAATCTGCCAGCTGCAGTGAGGGTTTCTGCAGGTGGAAGGAGCTGTGACTCTTGACAAGCGTGGCCTCAAACCCTTGATTCTCTGCCGGCTGGTTTTCTGTTGCAGTCTTCAGGAGGAGCTGAGGAGCTGTGTGGAAATACTGGACGTACCAGAAAAGAAACGAAGCTGAATAAGTAGTCTGGTAAGTGCAGTTGAGGACCAGAGGGGCCCCCTCTGGGAGAATAACCGGGCCTTCTGTCTGGGTCACTGAGTTTCCATGGCTCCATTCTAAAAAAAGGAAAAATATATTGTTATATAGGGAAGAAAGCTAAAGTTACCATGATTGTGGGTAATGGTAAAATCATGAGTTCTTAGGAAAAATATGTTACTTACTGGACATTAAGAGTATTACAAGAGGAGAGCAGATGACAGAAAGCATGTTAATAGAAGGCAATAATCTTTTATATTTGTGATATATCCCAAGTAGGATCTTATAGAAACACCTCACTAAAAGAAACAAGAGCTCTTTTCTGCACAACATCAGTCTGTCTGGTTACTATAAATGTAATAGACCTGTTGAACCAACACTCATCTGCAAATATGAACCACATGTGAAAAAGTAGTGCCATCTGGTGGTTGTTCTAAAAATGGCACTCTACCCTTGTGGACCCCGTTTTCTAATGCCATTGTCCTCCCTCTCCCTTAGCCACAGACAGACCTTTTCCAAGACCCACCCATGCCTGAAATCACATATAGCACTAACTACTACATGTACTACTTTTCACCATACATATAATAATGTTTGTTTATGAAATAGGCATAATGCTTTCTGGTGCAGCACATTGCCCTCAACTGAAACATCTGTTTGGTTCATGTCTTTTACCTACAAATATTTTCTATCCTAATCATGCACTTATGCACTGTGGCTGTACCTTTTCCAATTTCAGGTGTGGTGGCAAAACTGACCAAGAAAAGGACGGAGGTATGGTCATTGTGTACCATGAAACTGCTGGACATAGGAATGATTCTCACCCCGGAAGAATGGAGAACAGCCATGCAAGGTTTTGTCACACTGACCGGAGAGTATATATCTGGAACTTAGGAATTGTTTATATCTGAAGTTTTCTATTTAAATTTTTCAGACAACATGTAAATAAAAACAAGGAAAATTTAAGTAATAAACACTATCGCAAAATGGCCTAGGATAAGAGTAAAAGAGAATACATAGCCCTCTAATAAGAAACCACTATACATTTGCTTTATACAATAACAACTACACTTGGAAAATATTCAGTTACTACCACATGCAGTGTATTCTCATGGTACAGAGATCGTCCCCAAATAATCTCAGTTGCAACTGTTAAGTGGACCAGTCTGAAGCTCTTGACTTTTGTGGGTTCCTTGATTCCTATGGATAAAGAGGGATCTATGTGCCCCCACAAGTTCACCCCCTAATTATCCCTGTTCATCCCCAAGTCCCAAGCAAATGCCAGCTCTGCCGTCCAGTGCAGGGGTTTCCAGATAAGCTGCAGTGAAGGACCAATGTTTTTTCATGGACTGCTGCATTTGTGAGATACAATAAAATAAATTACTATAACTGTAGGAAGTAACCTTCAAGGACACTTTTAATCTTTGGCTGATTTGCAAATGTGGAAGAAACTCTGAGGGAGAACAGAGCAATAGGCTAAATAATTTCCAGAGCTCCCACAGTGCTAGGCACAGTGTTTATTTACAGCAACCAAGGCTCAGCAGACATCGCAATACATGAGACAGATGCCAGAATCCTCCAAAGGGTGATACATCAGTAGTGGGTTACTAAAGAAGTCCTAGGATCCAGGATGTTAGGTAACAATTGGACAGGTTCCTAAACAGACGGGAAGGAGCCTACTTCCTGGACACTAAAGGCCTGGCAGCAGCTACTAGCATCCGTACATTCTGTCACTTTCACCTGTGCCAAAAGCTGTATAAGAGCCCTGGACTTGAATCTCTATGGTTTTTCTGCCTTTTGGAAACCCACACACACATACACACAATGGGGGGACTCTTTATTGTTCTGAATACATATGAATTTGGGCAACCCCCACAAGTCTCCATCCAATGATGGAGCATTCACATATGCAGCATCATCAGAATTGGTAGGCAGGTGAACAACCAGGAAACTATTATTTATAGCTAGGAGGAAAAGCATCAGTAGAAAGAGATCAAGAAATGACCATTATAAAATCATTAAAATTATGCATAATAAAAATGTATTAATTGACTAAAAAGCTGTAGGAACAGAAAAATGAGAGGCACGTATCAGGGTCAAATGGAACTTCTAGAGATGAAAAATAAATTATGATTAGCAACAGATGAAAAAACACAGAAAAAACTCAGTAGACTTGAAGAAAGAACAATAGAAAGTGTTCAAACTGAAGAAAGGATAAAATAAGTTGAAAAAGGAAGAGTCCATGAGCTATGGAGCAAAATTAAGGGATCTTGCATGCATATAACTGAAACCTCAGAAGAACACAAAGAGGAAAGGGAAAATATTTAAAGAAATAAGGGCCAAAAACTGCAAGGCTTAATTATAAACCCACTAACAGGAGAGAAAAGAGATGGACCCCAGCGCTACTGTCCTACAACTATTACAATGTGTATGTACCCTGTTACACACAGATGACCACCAGGCATGGGAACTCACGTTAAATGAGCAAATACTTTGGTCTGTTCATAACACACTGTGAACTCCTTTCCAAAGACAAGTTGTGGTAAATAGTGGATTTTTTTTAATTATGAAAATTGGTTTCTTTTAAGCTTTAGCTGGAGGTACAACAATAGCGTGGCATTTCTCACAAATGTGATATAGTCGAACAAATATTTTTCTGTCAAAAATCATTTTTGAAAGCTGTGTGTTTTGTGCAACTTGTGATAATAAATGTTTTTATTTTAGAATTTTTAAAAAAGAAATGGAAAGGTATTTATTCCAATGCTCTTTGTCATTGCCTCAGTCCTCCTTGTGTTGTTAAGCCAAAGTGCCTGAGGCGAAGTACTTTGTAAGGAGAAGATGCTGACTCGGCCCATCATTTAGGAGGCTGGAAAGTCCACACAGCATGGTACTGGCCCTAGCTGCAGCACAACACAGTAGAGGGCCTCATGGGACAGCAGCACATGTGAGAGCAGACAGCGAGGCCGGAAAGAGATCACTTGTGGAGAGGAACCAATGGCACTAACTGGAACCACACAGTAAGTCATCCAGCGCACAAGGCACAGCTAGCTGCTGATGAGCTACTCCAGTCTGATTGAGCTTAGAGAGAAGAAACCCAGCCTCCCAAGTAACATATCAATCCAACCCCGGCACAGGGCAGGGACGAGCTGTCCGCTAAAAGGCTCCACTTCCCATCCATACCATATTGGGAGTGAAGCTTCCATGTGAGTTTTAGTGCGGTCAAAACTAGTCAGTTCATATCAATAATTAAGTTTCTGCAACCCAGGAATAAAAAGAAATGGTAGGGGCTGGGGATTTAGCTCAGTGGTTCTGCTGCCTGCCTCGGAAGCGCAAGGACTGGAGTTAGATCCCTGGTAGCCTCCGCTCCCGCCCCCACCAAAAAAAGATACGGTAAAAACAGGTAGGTGGGGAATGCGGAAGGGAAGGGACACACCACATACAGGGATTGAGGAATGACTTTTCACCAGAAAAAATGCACGTCAGAGCACACACAATTCAAGGGCTGAAAGAAACTTGTCTAAAGTAAAAAACTATAAAGCAACGTTGTTGGGATTTTTAACACGTGCAGAGTAAAAATGAAAGAAACAACAATAGCACAAAATAAGGAGTGTCAAAGTTTCCTGACTACATCTTAAGTGGTAAAACACTAATTAAAGTTGGACTGTGGTAAGTTAGACAGGTATTCTGTAGTCAGTTCTCAACTTTTGGGTCTCAGGATCCCTGAACAGTCTTACAAAGAGACTCCAAGAAGACTTTGGAAAGGTGCTGCTTATGTGGCCAGAGGTGGAGATGCATTCCATTAACCGTCAGAGGAAAGCTGTTATCACACATCATGTGGACCCTGGAAAACTTGCGCGTATAACTGTGATGGCATGACAGTGACAAAAGCAAATATCACTGTAAGGCCATTATTCAAAGAGTCTCAGTGTGTCACTCCCTGCAAGGGCCTCCCTAGGGTTTCCTGCACCACGGTTAAAAGGCAGCAGCCTCACTCAGCCTCCTGGAAGTCAGGTCACCTAACTCAGGTAACTTGGTGCTTGAAATGCCATCCTTTCACTTTCTGTCATGTCCTTCTTTTAACTGAAGTATCTTCTTTTGAAATCCAACGTGTAGATGTTTAATGTCACTAGCCAGGTTCTGTCCTCCAGAGGCATCCTCTGGTGTTCAGCTGTCTCCTATTTATTCACTTTATTAAGGATTTCAGGAATCCCAATTAGAGGGACAGTTTATGCAGTGTCTGACTGTTTGGCCATTTCTTTGGTTACTATTGGTGGTAATGAAACAAGCCCAACGGAAGATGCAAACAGGCCATTTTCATAACTCATTACCTCTCTAGGCCTGGGTTTACTTAATGCACAGCATGGCTGCAGTTTATCCAGAAGGCAAAGCATAGCTCTGTCCTTACTTAAAGCATCTTAATGCCCTGGACTTTGTAACTGCAGACAGCTACAGTATTTTCTTACATGGGCTCGGAGAAGCTGTGCTCTTCACATATATTTTATGAAATGAACTTGAGTAAAAGCACTTGAACACAAGATGAAAAATATCCACCATGCACTCACATTTTCATTTCAGATTAGCATAGACTGCTTACCCCTTGCTGAGGTTACAGTCTAGAATATAATTATCACACTGACGACATTCTGTGCTAGGCAAGCTACTCAGTGCCACTTACTAAGGTGCGTGCTCAGGAATCCCCAGACTCAGGCATCCGTCCAGAAACCTATAAAGTTTTCTATGGTTGTAAAGCTGTATTAAAAATACATGAACAGGGCCGGGGATTTAGCTCAGCGGTTCGGTGGCCTGCCTTGCAAGCGCAAGGACCCGAGTTCAATCCCTGGTACCCAAATAAATAAATAAATAAATAAACAAAGGCTGATCACTTTCAGGTGGGCAAAGAGCAAATAAATAAAACAATTCCTATTCTACATCTGTGCTCCTGAGCCCAGGTGGGCGGAAGGAAGGGCCAGGAGGGAAACAGCTAATGAGTTTATCCTGACATGGGGAAAGCCTGTTTGAATGTCTTGCTCCCCGTGTTTAGAGAGTTTCAGTCCATCCATCTCCCTGTTCTCTTGGTCCCAGCCTCTGGGTGTTGTGGGGGTCAGAAGCCCGAGTTACCTTCCAGTGGGGAAGGCCTGAGACCTCCCTACTGCCCTCCCACCCTCTAAACTTCATCACATTAGTTCTCTCACTGGCTTTCAGAAATATCTTGTGTTGTCTTATATTGTATTTTTCTTTGAATAAAGAAA